CATGAAAGGAATATTCTAAAAGCGACTCATGTAAACACCTTAATCAGAATATTGTCTTATTCAGAATAAGGTCAATAATTAGATTACTGCTGTCCGTGTAAACGTAGTCAGTGTCTATCATTCAAAGCGCCTGTGCAAATAGAATTGAACTGAACTATGGACTGGAAATGATGCAGTTTCAGTATGGGAACATCATAGTAAACATTACGGAAGACCTTTTTGCAACAGGTTTGTGACCAGAAACAATCGGTTTGAACTCACCCTCCTTCAGGGATGACATCTTTCCCGCCCAGACTTGGAGGCTTCTCAATGGACCAATCACTCTTCATAGACACACAGCTGGGTGCTGGAGATCCCGCACTTTCAGTATTAAATCTGGAAACATCGTAGAGACAGATCATTTTCAAGCCTATCGTGTGAATCGCTATAGAGCTGCGAGTGGGAGATCGTGCTGATTTGCACTCACCCGCTCTCACGGACAACATTCTCCCCGCCCAGGCTTGGAGGTTTCTCTATGGACCAGTCACTCTTCATGGACACACAGGACACACAGCTATGTGCTGGAGATGCTGTTTTCATTAACCTGTGAGAAGTTCACAGAAGTGTGACGCCATGAATGATTAAATATATACATACATGTTTAATGATATATATCATACACACACACACACATATATATATATATTTATTTTTATTTATATATATATATATATATATATATATATATATATATATATATATATATATATATATATATATGTGTATATATATATATATATATATATATATATATATATATATATATATATATATATATATATAAAAAGCATTCAAGCAGAAATCCAGGACATTTTTACTTCCTTGACCTTCCATTTACTCAGATTTGACGCTAACACATATCTACTAACTTTGTCTCAGGGGTTTCTTCTACATTACTGCTGTAAGGAAGCGTCATCATGGCATTAACCCCTGTAAACGTTATGATGATGATGATGATGATGATGATGATGATGATGCTCTCCGGTTCAAAACGAATGTTACATCGATAAAGTCACCTGTCACACTGATCCTGCAACATAACAAATAATAAGAGTAAAAATAATTCCAATAAAACTGCAGATTCAGAGTTCTTTGAATAACTTTAGCAGCAATCATTATATTAAAACGCTGCAGTCATCCCGACCCCAAGCCAGTCCAGGGTCATTTCCCTACTGATATATTTTAGCTTGTTTAGTTTGCTTTAACATATTGGTGTTTTTGTTTTTTTTTCCTTTTAATACATTGACTTATTTACATGATCATTAAGATGAAGTGCTCTTTCATTACATAACCATTTAATACCTGTATGCTCACACAGTTAATCATTGTAAAACTATTAGTGCAAGAATTTAATCAAAACACTAAATCCTGAATCACGTCTATTGAAACTTTATTTCTCCGTGGCTTTGTTTTGTGTGAAGTTATTAACGAAGAGGTGCGTCACTGGTACCCATCTTCTTTCACATGTTCTTCATATAAACAGTATGTATTCATATAACTTTGAAACAATATTAATTTCTCATATTACTAAATTAAAGGGAAGCAATACCAATCTGATCTTACATATCTACTGGAGCTGTAGGACTTCAGTCTCCAGACGTTTTCTGTATTGACTTGGACTTGTCTTGGATTTATTGCCATTAGTACTTGGACTTGGCTAGTTCTTTGGCCTTAGTCTTGTTAAATATTGTCTTGACTGAGAGTTTTTATGTTTTTGTCTTTTCACATGCACAAAGTTTGGCAAAAAAAGTACTGCCTTCTTCTAGAAAACAGCCTGATCATTGGCACAACTCATGAACGAAGCCAAGAAAGTGAAGTAAAGACTTCGCCTCCCTTAGGACTTGGTCCTGACTCGATCATGGCTAGTCCTGGTCTTTTGCTTGACAATGACAGTCCTGACTCAGCTCTAGTATGTAGAGTACTGTATATCATGCTAAAACCGCCCTGGACCAGTATGGATACAACACATTTCCCAATACAATGAACAGATTTTTAAAAAATTTGATCCTGCGTGTCAACACATCCTACAGATACACAGTTGGGTTCTGGGCATGCTCCACTTTCAGTTCCCTACAGCTTATCCCCCAATCATCTCTGTGACATTTAAAACATTGTCTTATGATGAGGCTTAGTGATGCAGATGGTGAGTTGCATCACTTTATCATTTAGACCGGAGTTCCAGCTAAAAAGTGACCAAAGTGACCGAACCATGGTCAACGGACCGATACTCGACAGCTAGAAACTTCTGGTACATTAGCAGAACAAAAAGGGAGGACAGTAACACCTTGTCAACTTGTGGAATATTCAATACTTGCAATGCGTCCACACTTTTAATGCAACACAGTCTTAGGGGTCCATGCATTCAGGAATCTACTGATCTCCATATACATAGCCTTTCCTAGTAGGTAAGAATACCTCACGCTCACATACTTAAAGTAGCCATTCAACCTGTTTTTGGGAAGCGGGAAGAAACCAGAGAACCTCACATGAACACAAGGAGAACATCTCCACACAGAAAGCAAGCCAAGCGAAAGATCGATCCTGAGTGACCCCCAGGTCACTACCTGCTACACCAATGTGCAAACCATGTATAGTTGTTTATTTTTGTTTTACAATGCCAATAATTCATCTACAAATGAAGAATAACGTGCAATATAAATGCTGCCATTATTTCAAGTTCAACTACAACAATTACAGTTGAAAAGTTCTGAACCCCATGCCCATCCAACCTGTAACATTTCACAGTATTTGACAACCGAAGCTTGCACACAGTTGGTCGGTTGCTGTGACATCTGGATCAGATCGGTATCGTCCAGTACTCGCGAGAACTCTTATTGAAAATGACAACAGTGAATTTCCAATAATGGCAATGAAATGATATTAGAAAGGAGTATTTTAGGGAATAAATCATACAAATATTCAATGCTCCATAAAATAGGAAAATCAACATCGCCTAATTTAATCCAACAATTAAGAATACGGCGGGTCACGTTTATAGCGGTTTCATTTGAAAATTTGGTCACTTAAATAAGGAAAAATGCGTTCAAATTTAATATATATGTAAATATACAAATAAACTTCGAAACTTAATATGCATCACTGATATTTCTGATGTATTTCTGCATATATTGCTTTATCCTCCAAGCCAAAGAGATTATTAATTAACAACTTAAGTTCATTTACAATAACAGAATTTTCTCATATTAGAATGGTCTGTTGATATTACAACTAAATCTCTATGTTTAATTGATATTACTTTAGTTGATATTACTACTAACTCTGTACGTATGTGTGTGAATTACCTGCCTGTTACAGAATGAGCTCTTCAAAACAAAAACAATACAAACAAACAACTCACACATTTTCTGTCATCTTGGCTCATCGGGGTCCATCTCGTTTCATGCGCATCGTCTCGGAGGGGACTGCCAAAGAATGGAGGCCACTTGACTGGTCATCCGTTATATATAGAAGCTGCATTTTCAGTTCTGTGTTCAGTTAAGACCTGTGACATTAATCCATAAAGTCATATGATTTTAGTCATAGTGTTCTGTAATGTTAACTTCCTCTAAACAACACCAATGAAGGAAAAAAAAAACGTTGCCCAACATTACTCACTTTCTCCCCAGCAGTATTGAGGTTTTTTTTTTTTTTTTTTTTAAATTTACCAATCAGAATGACAGTTCTACACTTTTAAGCATATTGCAGATGACATTGTATAACATTTACCCTTGCTATGCCCAAAATCCTAGCACCGAATAAAAACAAACATACTCAAACGTCCCCACAATTCACTATCTATCATAGTGTTTTGGGTTTTTTGTTTTGCTTTTTTTTTTTAACTTATTTTGGTGTCCTAATAAGGTTTTATTTAGAAGCATTTGCAATAGAGAAGTCTTCAGTTGTAAGGTATTACATCACATTTATTCAGATTCTTGTATCCAAAGAGACTTTCAATTAAGTTGAGCACAACAACAACAACAACAACAACAACAAAACGCTGGTATACAAAAATACCCCTATGTTCGCAAGTGATAAAGCGAGATGATTAGACAAAGGAATATCAGTCTTGTACAGTTCAGCTACATCGTCTTGACAGTGATGAGTCACACCAGTGTAAGCTAGACAATATGTCTCAAGTTTTACTGACCTGTTCAACAGGTTTGATTGTTAACGTCGAAACTGGAAGCGCACAAGTCAGCATGAAACTAAACGATAAGCATCGACCAACACTCGAATCTTTCCACCACGTATTTCAACCACAAATATCATTAAAATCACCCTTACTGCTAAACACCTACACTACATGACCAAAAGTATGTGGACACCCGGCCATCACATCCATACGGTATGCGGTTCTTCTCTTTCACAAAGTTGGAAGTGCACAGTTGTATACTGTAGAATGTCTTCGTATGCTATAGCGTTACAATTTCCCTCCACTGGAACTAAGAGACCCAAACGTGTTCCAGCATGACAATGCACAATGCCTATGTACACAAAGCGAACTCCATGGAGACATGGTGTGTTAAGGTTGGAGTAAAAGAACACGAGTGTCAGAGAACGGCGGAACGGGAGGAAGAGGGGGGCGAGCCTTCTGAACACTCAAAAAAAAAAAAAGATGGATAGTGACAAAGTTTGCAGATGAGACAGAGGACTGCTCTCTTCCTGAATCCCCAGGGCTAAATGGATACACAATAGATTGCAGTACAGGTCCTAAGCAATGTCTATTTGAAACATTAGCCCCTGGCGTGACTATGGAGGAAAACATAAAACAAAACCGGAGGCAGCGCGGACGGGAGAAACGTTGGAATGGTAGTAGGCTCAAGCTAATAGGCTCAAGCTTTTCATGAATAAAAAGGCGAAGGCTCTTTCTTTCAACACGGACTCCCGTTGCATAACTTTACACACGATGGCCCACGGAGCATTAAAATTATATTATATATATCATACAATATAATATAATAGGGTGCACAGTGGTGGTTAGCACGTTCGCCTCACACTTCCAGGGTCGGGGGTTCGATTCCCACCGTGGCCATGTGTGTGTGGAGTTTGCATGTTCTTCCCGTGCTGCGGGGGTTTCCTCCGGGTGCTCTGGTTTCCTCCCCCAGTCCAATGACCTGCATGGTAGGCTGATTGGCGTGTCTAAAGTGTCCGTAGTGTATGAATGGGTGTGTGAGTGTGTTTGTGATTGTGCCCTGCGATGGACTGGCACCCTGTTCAGGGTGTACCCCGCCTTGTGCCCCATGCTCCCTGGGATAGGCTCCAGGTTCTCCGTGACCCTGAAGAAGTAAGCGGTAGAAGATAGATGGATGGATGGATGGATGGATGCTAAGACTGTCCTTTATGACGCGCGATACGAACACCTCTGTTAAAATCTCAGAAGATATAGTTTAGTGTTTCATGACGCTTTAATCTAAGTGTAAATATGTAGTATGTTTTGTATTTTGCATAAAAAAGGGTTTTAAAAAAAGGTTTTTAAGCAAAATAATATTCTAAGACGTTACAATGAAAGCTAGATGTGGAATTCTAAAGGATAACAATCATATATAGACTTAAGTGATCACTAAAGTTATCGCAGTGTGTTAATAAAGTTCATTCTCGAATTTGTCCTGGTCTTGCATCACACCCTTTTCCTCCGAGGGCGGAGCTAAGAAACACGAAGAGGAATCGACGAGGAAACAGGAACGCTTTTGATTTCTAGCCAAATCAAAAAACCGCTACAGTTAATTCGACATCAAAAACGTATTCAGTCAACGTGAAAGCTGTGGAAAAAAACTAAAGAAACCTTCATACAATTTGTAATTGTTTCAATGGGAATTGTCAGTTTCCCAGTGGGTCCCTGTTTCCAATTGTTGGTCATTTGTTACCTTCTATTGGTGGCATGTTATGTGGCATGTTATGTTTCGTGGAAACCATTAAGGACCTGTAATGGTTTTAACGGTTAGCTGATGGTTTGTAATGGAAACCATTAGAATTTCTGTGATGTGTTTTGTTATCAGGGGTGCTGAGTATCTAGTCACACAAAGTCAAGTTAAGCCTTTTGCATGTAAGGTTACAAACAACAAATGCAAGGGAAATGAAGAAGAATGGGATTAATTAAGCAAATAAAGAAAATAATATAAATATATATTTGTATCTCTAATGAATTTTCATAACATTTCCGGTTATATCTATAATGTTTATTTATGTTCATTTCTGTATGGCTCAAATATGTTCCCTAATAAAAACCTTCTAGTAGAGAGTGTAGATCCACAGTGACAGATACTGTGTGTGTGTGTGTGTGTGTGTGTGTGTGTGTATATATGCGTGTATGTGTATATGTGTGTGTGTGTGTGTGTGTGTGTTTAGACGAGTTTATGATGGCAGCCATTTTTATACTGACATTGAATCTATGATAAACATGCGTTGAATAAACACACACACACATCATTCAGCCTACATATAATGATTAATATTGTCTTTAGTTGACTCACCCGAATTTATTTCAAACATATCCGCGGTATTGTTTCTAATCTCCTCCTCTTACAGTTACACTTAGTTTCGGTTTGACCGAACTGGCTCTGTTCCAGGACCACGCATCGACGTGATGACGTCATCGAGGGGGCGGTCCTACAGTCCGCGTCGTCAGCGTGTTGATCTGAAACACGATATCGTGAACAAGACGATTGCAATATTTATACAAACTATTTCTATTGTGCCTTACATATGTTGTTCTCATTTTTAAACACGGTGAAAGAGTCATTTAGTATTTTTACGTAAATACGATAGAATTAGACTTCATAAATTAATGTTAGAGTGCCCCCTGCTGATCCCATTATTGGTTTGGAAAAAGAAATAAAAATAAAATCGAATAAGTAAAATAATAATAAAATTTTTTTTTAAATAAAGTAAAACATCATAGCAGTTGAGGAATTGTACAATGCTCCATGCTGACCACATTATTTATTTGCAAAATAAAATTTAATATAATAAAAATAAAATATCCTAGATGCTGATGAAATTTACAACACTGCCCCAAAACAAACAAGCAACAACAAAAACATCACAGATGCTGACTATTTATAATGACCCTTGTTGACATTATTAATTTGCAAAAATGAAGTATATATATATATATATATATATATATATATATATATATATATATACACACACACAAAAACATCTCTACAATTTAGTATGTTTAGCTTTTATTATTAGTAAAAACGTACATCCAGTTTTTACATCCTGTTTTTACAGCTAGTGCTCTAACGCACACAGCTTCAAGGTTAACACTTAAAACCACACAGCTTCAAGGCTAGTGCTCTATACCACAATTTCCCTGCCTCTGTGTCTCTCTGTTAAAAACCCAAATAAGGGCATCTGTTTTCTACATGCAGCTTCAGAGCTAGCATTCGTAACCGCATCTGGGGACTTTTGAGAAAGCGTTGCGGTCTTGAGCAATAGCTTAGACCCTAGCACTCAAAACCACAATCAAAAAACCATTTATATACTGAGTAAAGGCGAGTGTATAGGGGCCATTTCCTTGGGTGAAGATTTTGTCATGTTAATTTCCTGTGAAAGAAAAACCACGATCAGACCCTGCATGGTCTACAGTTATTCTTTATTTCTCTTCTTAAAAGAAAACCATTATCAGACTCTGTGTAGTCTCTGGTTGTTATTTATTTTATTTTATTTATATTCCGAGTTAAGATAATTGAAATCCTTTTGTTGTTTTATAAACCGAAGTCCATACAAAAGGACGATTCGTATACAGTGTATCCGGAAAGTATTCACAGCGCTTCACTTTTCCCACATTTTGTTATGTTACAGCCTTATTCCAAAATTGATTAAATTTATTATTTTCCTCAAAATTCTACAAACAATACTCCATAATGACAATGTGAAAGAAGTTTGTTCTTTGCAAAGAAATCTTTGCAAATTTATTAAAAATAAAAAACAAAAAAAGCACATGTACATAAGTATTCACAGCTTTTGCCATGGCATTCATAATTGAGCTCAGGTGCATCCTGTTTTCATTGATCATCCTTGAGATGTTTCTACAACTTGATTAGAGTCCACCTGTGGTAAATTCAGTTGATTGGACATGATTTGGAAAGGCACACACCTGTCTATATAAGGTCCCACAGTTAACAATGCATGTTAGAGCACAAACCAAGTCACGAAGTCCAAGGAATTGCCTGGAGACCTCAGAGACAGGACTGTCTGGGGATCTGGGGAAGGGTACAGAAACATTTCTGCAGCATTGAAGGTCCCAGTGAGCAAAGTGGCCTCCATCATCCATAAAAGGAAGAAGTCTGGAAGCAGCAGGACTCTTCCTAGAGCTGGCTGCCCAGCCAAACTGAGCGATCAGGGGAGAAGGGCTTCAGTCGGGGAGGTGACCAAAAACCCGATGATTACTCTGACAGAGCTCCAGCATGTCTCTGTGGAGAGAGAAGAACCTTCCAGAAGAACAACCATCTCTGCAGAACTCCATCAATGAGGCCTGAATGGTAGAGTGGCCAGATGGAAGCTACGCCGCAGTAAAAGGCACATGACAGCCCACCTGGAGTTTGCCAAAAGGCACTTGAAGGACTCTCAGACCAAAGATTGAACAAAGTTTGAACTCTTTTGCCTGAAAGGCAAGCATCATGTCTGGAAGAAACCAGGCACCACTCATCACGTGTCCAATACCATCCCTACAGTGAAGCATGGTGGTTGCAACATCAAGCTGTAGGGATGTTTTTCAGTCACAAGAACTGTGAGACTAGTCAGGATCGAGGAAAAGATGAATGCAGCAATGTACAGAGACATCCTTGATGAAAACCTGATCCAGATCGCTCTGGACCTCAGACTGGGGCAAAGGTTCATCTTCCAACAGGACAACGACCCTAAGCACACAGCCAAGATAACAAAAGAGTGTCTACAGGACAACGCTGTGAATGTCTTTGAGTCGCCCAGCCAGAGCCCAGACTTGAACCCGATCTAACATCTCTGGAGAGATCTGAAAATGGCTGTGCACCGATGCTCCCCATCCAACCTGACGGAGTTTGAGAGGTCCTGCAAAGAAGAATGGGAGAAACTGCCCCAAAATAGGTGTGCCAAGCTTGTAGCATCATTCTCAAAAAGACTTGAGGCTGTAATTGGTACCAAAGGTGCTTCAACAAAGTATTGAGCAAAGGCTGCAAATACTTATGTAAATGTGCTTTTTGGTTTTTTATTTTTAATACATTTGCAAAGATTTTAAACAAACTTCTTTCATGTTGTCATTATGAGGTATTTTTGTAGAATTTTAAGGAAAATAATTAATTTAATCCATTTTGGAATTAAGCTGTAACATAACAAAATGTGGGAAAGTGAAGCGCCGTGCATACTTTCCAGATGCACTGTACCTTCCTTCAAGAGTAAATCACTTTGTTACCAACTTCTTCAGAGTAAGAGAAAGGACTCCAAAGGTTCTTGAGCCCAGCGGCACGAAGACTCCGTCTCCTGAGAAGGTAAGAGGAAGTAGTTCTAAAAGCTCTATCAGATGTATGACAGAGTAGTGTGTAGAGAATAAAAAATTGGGATACAAAATTCTCACAAAAAACAATAATGTAGATGTTAAATTGACAGGTACCACCTACCTAATCATTCTTGCAGACCAAGTTCAAGAGAAGTTCAAGTTCAAGTGTTGTTACTCTCATTTCACCCATATACAGCTGGTACAGTACACAGTGAAACAAAACAACGTTCCTCTAGGACCATGGTGCTACACAAAACAACACACTAACCACATGAGACGACACAGAACTCAATAAGATCTACAAACATTCTACACAAAGTGCATGTGCAAATGTGTGCAAATGTGTGCAAAAAACACCGGACAGCACAATACTACTAAAACAGGACAATAGGCACAGTCAGTGACCGTGTAGCTCTGGACAGTAAACAGTTTTAGTGTGGAAGTGTCTGATATAATACTTAGTGCAGAAGATAGGCGCCAAGGAGTAACAATATAATTGAAAATGGTATAAATGTAAACATAACATGCTATGACTGAGTATTTAGCAGATT